AAGGAAGGAAGGAAGGAAGGAAGGAAGGAAGGAAGGAAGGAAGGAAGGAAGGAAGGAAGGAAGGAAGAAATGGCACTAAAGCTCAAAGAGAACAGTCCATTCCTCAGCACATGGAATGAACAACGCCCTGCCCCCATTCAGGTACTGAGGTTGTAACCTCTGATGTGACTGCAGTCAGAGACTGGTGATATTCAAGGTTAAATGAGATCAAAAGGGACAAGAAAATCGAATCCTCGCAAGACTGACAAAAAAGAGTTACGAGAAAACAGTGACCAAGTGCTCTCACCAGACAGCACCCTGCTAGCAGTAAGATCCAGACTTTGACCCTCCATAAATGAGAAAATAAACTTCTGTCACTTAAACCACTCCATAGAGAAAAATTTAAAAAGCAATCAAAAGAAAAAACTTACCTCTGCCTGATCCCAACTTGACAGCTTTTTGGGAGTGGCGCCAGGAGTCTGGTCAGCGGTTTGATCCCAGCGCCGCTTTCGTTTTGAGGGAGGCTGGGATGCTGCTGCCCCATTGACGACTTTTAGTTCTCCAGCTTTAGCTTTTTCTGCTAGTTGTTGCCTAATTTCTCTCTGAAAAACATTGGAAAGAGCAGAATACTTATCTTTCACATTGTTTCATTAGAAGAAAAAACTCACAGGTACCAGGCATGCCTGAGATTCTGTTCAATTCCTGCATCAGTAATTGGGAGGGGAAGAATTCTGTCAGCTAAGTCTTTATGCCACTAGTATACTCATTTCTATTTAATAAGTTATTTGGTATTCCACTCATTTTATTTTCTGTTCCTAGTTCTGGTACTGCTCCTTATCTTTGCTATTATGTATTTGCAGTTCTACAGCACTGTCTTTCTTCCTAAACAGTATATAAGCAACTCCAGAATTTTAACAGCCTACACTTTAAAGCTAGTGAAACAGATCTTACTGTAAAGTAAAATCTCTAGTCAGTAAATAAGATCTCCACTCTAACAGCAGAGAACTGAAAAATATGAAACTAAAAGTTTTTAAAACTCATTGACACAAAAATAAGCCAGGGGTAGTGGCACACGCCTGTGATCCATTGTCTAAGGCAGAAATGTTTCTTTGAATTTAAACCAATGAGAGTTCCACACCAGCCAGGATACATAGCAAGACTCTGGTCTCAAAAACAAAAAAGAACAAAAAAAGGCAAAAATAAAACTTAGTGTTGGGCTAGAGAGATGGCACAGAGGTTAAGAGCATTCTATTCTTTCAGAGGTCCTGAGTTCAATTCCCAGCAGATATGATGGTTCAACCATTTATAACAATATCCGGTGCCCTCTTCTGGCATGTAGGCATGCATGCAGACAGAATACTGTATATATAATAAATAAATCTTAAAAAAAACTTTAAAACAAAAAGCAACTTAATGTCATAACAAATGCATTTACTTTATTCTTTCATTCTAAAATGAGGTCCCACTTCTCTTTTAATTCACCTAACAAACTTCATTTAATTATGTTATTAATAAAGATACAGTAGCTATTAAAACAACCCCAGCCAGTTATGGTGGTGTGCACTTTAATCCTCAAGAGGCAGAGGTAGGAAGATTCCGTTGAGTTAGAGATCAGCCTGTGACTATGGAGCTACAGAGTGAGTTCTAGGTTAGCCTGGGCTAGAGGAAGACCCTACACTTCAAAGAACAATCAAAAAGAACAAGACTGGGGACAGCAAGATGGCTCAGCTGGTAGAAGCAATTGTCACCAAGCCTGACACCTGCATTTAGTCCCTGGACGCACTGGGTAGAAGAGAACTGCCTCCTGCCAGCTGTCTTCTTACCTCCATGCACACCATGGCATAAACCATGGCATAAGCATATACACACAAATAAATATGTGATGAAACAAAAATGACAAAAAACAGCTGAGGTTTAGCTTCCCAGCACTGCTTCTGTGCTAACTAACACAGAGTTAGTAAGCCAGAAGATCACTCAGAATTCTTCATCTACATCCAAACCAAATGAGCAGTAGGGATTCTTTAAGAACTAATGTGACCCCTAGCCCCTGAGGTATACTAAACTCCCTACACACCTCCCCAAGCATACATACACACAGGAGACCAAAGAGCTCCACAAATCAAAATATCAAGTTTCAAAGGTGATCTAATTCTGGGATAATTTTTTAACTTAATTTGTAATTTTTACAAATGAAATACTACAGTCCAATCATGCTTGTTCCCACCTTTAATTCTAGCACGTGAGAGGCAGAACTGAGTTTTAGGCCAGCCAGGGCTACATAAGACCATCTTTAAAAAACAATTTCTGGGCAACAGTGGCATACACCTTTAATCCCAGCACTCCAGCTTTCAGGAGGCCAAGGCAGGTGGATCTTTATGAGTTCAAGACCACCCTAGTCTAGAGTGAGTTCCAGAACAGTCAGGGCTACACAGAAAAACCCTGTCTCAAGGGAAAGAAAAATTGCTGTGAACAACAAAAACTCTACTGTAAACTTCTCTCAAACTCTCTTCAATTACTTCACAGCCATTACGCTGAGAAGTGAGTTCCTACCTCTTCCTTAGTCAGATGTTGTTCCCGCATAACATCCATGTAAGTTCTGGCATTCATTTTAGGGTCAGGGGTCTTCCCTCCTGCAGAAAAGAACAGCAACAGGACAAGAGTACAATAAATAAAGGATATTAGGTTCAACTGATTTCTCTGCCCTGCTCTAATATTATGTTATTCCATAATCATTTAATTTATTTTTTGGTGGAAAACTTTGATAATTATACATCTTACTTTTTATTGAGTTTGCTGATCAATTTAACCTGTTTGAACACAAACATATCTACAGCAGTTTAAAACAATTATTTTAATGCATAGATAAAGCAAAATGACAGCACAGTTTAGAGTCTTCAGAAGTGATGGGTTCCTGGGTTGCTAATCCGGAATACGTACACTTTCGTGCCTTTGTCTCCATCAGCAGTTCTGACTTCAAGCAGCAGAATAGAAGCCTAGAAAATTATCTCTTTACCATTAGTAACACTTTGGAAAGATATTTATATTCAAAACATTACCTGTTGCAAGCTGTTAAAATCCTGACTACATTAACTGACTACATAAGTTCTTCATACAGTGATCTAGATCTAAACAGTTGTAACTTAGAAAATCTAATATACCTACAATCTTACTCTCATGTCACATTACTAAAAAGGGCTTCATGTTTTTTAAAATTTCTTTCTTGACCCAAAATATAATTCTATTTCTTAGAAAGTACAATTACAACTGGAAATATATTACTTAAGATATATTATTTCTACCAGTTATTACAATGCACACAAAAGAAAAGTGGTGTACAAAGAGATGTGTTAGTCTCTTGATTAAAGTTTCAGTATTTGCTTTTCAAACTGCAAAATATCTTAAAGAAGCCCAAACATTATATAACAAGATCAACAAAGGCACACTATGCTTTAGAAATGTGATAATTAGCTATACAAGTAGTATAGCATTAAAATTTAGGACAAAATAATAAAATTCTAAAACATCTCCTATGCTGACGATCATGCCCAATTGGTAGTGTCATTCTTTCTGACACTAGCTCTGATAAGACTTCCTTTGGAATACTTTTTCACCATAATCTAGAGAGGATGTGTTGAACTGCACCCTTAAGAATGCAGACAGGACTGGCATATAGCAGTACTGCTGTAGGAAAGAAATTAAGGACAGTTAGTATGGGCCTGTGAATTCTGACATACATGTTTAAATCAATTACAATTATGCAAGTAAAGAAAAGAATATCCCTATTAGTTCATGCAGGCTGAGAGTCTACCTTGTGAACCTGCAGCGATCTATTTTAAATCAGGCACTTAGTTTGAGGGTGGGACTCACTCACGCACTGAGGAGAGCTTCCACCAGGCTCGCTATGCCCCTTGCACACTACAATTAGCAAGACAGACTCCAACTACTACAGACAAAGTCTTTGTACGTAACTTTCGTTTTTACTACAAATTTGCATAGAGCAAAGTAGGTGCATTTACTAAGCTTTAAGGATATGAGGGGACTCTAGTGTGAGAAACAATTTCTCAAAAGTAACAATCCAAAACTCTAGAATTTGGAATGAAAACTTGCAATAATTTGAAGTATTTTGAGCAGAAAACCACATTTGTTCCAAGTATACCAAGAGTACCCAAAACAAAAGTAAAAGAAAAACCTTTAACCCTTTGCGTTTCTATGGCATTGGCTCATTATTTTCTTGTCCTTCTACCTGGAAAGAAAACTTGCATTATAAAGATGAAGACTATGGCATCTGTGACTTCAACCAAATCTATACAAATCTATAAGGGGGTCTTTAAAAAAACAAAAGCAAATTCATAAGCATGCCAAAAAAAATCAAAGGGCTAAAGACAACTTAATTAAAATAAATTTCTGAATACTTATAGAAAAGTGGGAAAGAATTACCATCTGCAAAAGGATCAAGACGCTCTGGGGAAATTATCATGGTCCGCCTATGCTTTTTGTACTCATCTTCCCGGTCTGCAATCTTTGGAGGACGATGTTCAGCAAACGGGTCATACTGGAAAAAGGATTGTTTCATTTAATGCCCACTCTATCACACGACCAACACTTCCCCACCAGACACATATCAAGTAAACAAACCATTTATGTAAAAATGTTATCATTTTTACTATTTTCTACAGAGAAAATATTTTCCAGTTTCAAATAACTCTGAACTTTTGAATTATAACCTGTTTTTATGTTCAAGCTATCTGTGTGTTATTTCTCTCGCAGTTATACATAAAATGTTTTTACATTTAAAAAAAGGACAAATACTATAGAATTGTATTACATGAAATACATAGAATATACAAATTCATATATAGACAGAAAGACTAGACGTTTATCTCAAGATGGACAAAAAAGGAATATAGAATAATGATTTCCTAAGTACAGAATCTCTATTTTATGTGACAGAAAAGCCCCACAAATGGACAGTAGTATCAGGATATAATATCATGAATGTAATAAATCAATATAATTAATGTAATTAATATCATAAATATAGTTATTGAATGAATACTGCAAATGTAATCAATAAATACCACAAAAATAATATCATGAATGTAATTAATGAATATCATGAGTGTAATTAATATCCTGAATGTAATTCATGCCACTGAATTATGAACTTAAAAAAGGTTACAACTGCAAAAAAATAAAAAATATAAAAAACAATTTAAAAAAAGAAAGAAAAAGTATGTATGGCTGATCAGTTTACAGAAGTCAACACTTCATGTAATGATGCCTTTACCAAACAGTTCTTTCTGATTCTCCCAAGTCAGCTCTTCTCTCAAAATAGTCTCAGAATTGACTGCTAAAACTTCTGTACTTCCACTAGAACTCAGTCCCTCTTTGTAAACTGAATAAATTTTGAAGTCACCTGTTCTGTTGACTGTGGTATATCATTAAGCAAAGCCACAGGGGCATGATATCCAGGCTTCTTCTGACCCAGCAAACTTGTAGATGATGAGTAGTCATCGTCATCCTGCAATGAAACACAACCAAAAAGTCAAACAAATGTCAGAACATAAAAATGTATAATTTGGCAACTATCATAGGTTTACTTCGAACTCTTCACTTTAATCACAGAAATAAGTAAGCAGTAATTGTTATCAAATGTACTGACTTCCTTAACAGTGTGCTGACACAGCCACATATACTCTCTCTTTTCTAGTATAAAACGGGTACACTTGTTGACTCTCGAGAAAGCGTATCTATAAATTCAGTTTAAAATGAAGACCCTTGTTTCTTAGCTTCTACAACAGGCAGGGGAACGGCGTGCTAGGACAAGGGTGGCAGTGCCAACAGTGAATCCCTAGCCCTAGCACTCGGTTAAGGCCAGCATGAACTGACACTGTCTCAACACACACGCATGCACACATACACAGAGGGTGAGGACATCCTCTGCAAACACTAGTCTCCGATCAGCCTCTAGAATTTCATCTTTGGGACAATCACACAAACACCTTTCTACCAAGGGGAAAAAGTGCCAGTGACAAAGATGTGACTTGAATTTTACAAAAATAACCAGTTTGAGGAGGGGGGGGGGCACTGGGAGCACACATTTAATCCCAGCACTTGAGAGGCACGGTCTACATGGTGAGTTGAAGGCCAACTAAGGTTATATAATGAGATCCTGTCTCAAAACAAAGCATCATCAACAGCAAGTTTGATAATCTATATGAATTCTGTCTAATTGCAATCATGCAAAAACAGATTAAATAGCTATTTCACCAAATTTGAATGTTTGAGATGGTCAAAAGAAAAGCTACGTAGAATTTACATTAAAAACCTTTGATGTTCTATTTTGTTCAGCCAAAATGGAACATCTGTGAGTTCAAGGCCAACCCAGTCTATTAAATGAGTTTCAGGACAGCCAGGGCTACACAAAGAAACCCTGTCTTGGGGGGTGGGGGGGATCAAAACTGACCACTTCAGGAAGTATCTGAGGGCATGGGGAAGGCTCCAGCATTCAGGAGGCAAAAAATAGGCAGATCCTGAAAAACTGTATCAAAAACCAGGGAGTAACCACCGTCAGCGTCAGCACTTGGAAGACAAGACAGTTTGAGGCCAAGCATGGTCGGTCTCCATAACCAGTTCCAGGTCGGCTAGGGTTACACAGCAGGGGGATGGGGTCCTCTCTCCTTTTAACCATGCAACTCAAACAGAAAAATCCCCTCTATTTCTTAACTTTTTCAAAAACAAAAGCAAAATCAAAACCCTTGCCTCTTACAACTTACATCTTCAAGTTCAGTTGCAGCAATTGATGTCACGTATCCAGCAAATCTGCTATCACTTCCACCATAAATTTCTTGGTCATAATAACCTGTGGAATCAAGGCCCACTCCTTGGGCTTCATCAAGAGCTGCCTTCTTGCCCTGGATTTCTCGAATCTGTGCTTCAATATCTGTAAGAAAGAAAACAAACAATTTCACATTCCAAAGAGCTCTTAATAAGATCTTATCAAAATAACCTTAAACATAGCAAAGTTTAAGCGACCTGACCATGAAAGAGGTTAAAAGAGTAGTCCACCTACACATCTATTTCATCCCTTACCTCAACAGATGACAGAAACCCAAAGATCTGATTTACTATGTCATCAACTACAACTTACCCTAACCATTAGAATGGGCTATCAAAATTAATTGAGAAATTCTAAACCTTCCCCTAACTGAAAAATTACAGCAATTAAAAAATTACGCTAAAATATGTATTTATTATTAGCATGTGCGGCACATGTACAAATGTGTAGAGACCAGATAACTTGAAAACTGGGTTCTCTCCTACCTTTACATGGTTCCAGGAATCAAACTGAAGTTACTAAGCTTGTGTGCAAGTGACTTGGTGAGCCATCTCTGGCAGCCAAAAAAATTAAAACTGTTGATGTTCACCAGGAATCAGAGCTATACTTACAATTATTTAAATTTACCACTACCAGAACTGAACTAGAGACATAATTCAGTGGTGCATAACTTGCTGAGCATTGTATAATCTGATACCCAGCCTCATGTATTATAGCACAAAATAAAACCCATTATTAGAGATATAAAACCAACAGTATGAATCACTTCCCTGCCTTTTGGCTATGATCAAGTATAAAAAAGCATTAGCCGGGCGTTGGTGGCGCACGCCTTTAATCCCAGCACTTGGGAGGCAGAGCCAGGAGAATCTCTGTGAGGCCAGCCTGGGCTACCAAGTGAGTTCCAGGAAAGGCGCAAAGCTACATAGAGAAACCCTGTCTTGAAAAACAAAAACAAAAACAAAAAAAAAAAAAAAAAAAAAAAAAAAAGCATTAAACTGAGCACAGTAGAGCCAGCAAAATGGCCCAGCAGGTAACAAACTTGTTGGTAAGCCACCTCCTTCTACTTGCTAGGTCAAGGCCTGTTTCACACTGTACAGTAGGCTCCAGGTTAGCTAGCCCCAAACCTTCTAACCAATTCTCCTGTCTTTGTTTGCCATCTTGCAGTAAGAGTACTGAGATTATACATCCACTTTTATGCATCTTTTTACACATCTAGCTTTTTTTTCTTTAATTTATTTATTTTTATTTTATGTGCATTGGTGTTTTGCCTGATGTATGTCTGTCTGAGGGTCCCCTGGAAATGGAGTTCAGACAGTTGTGAGCTATCATGTGGGTGCTGGGAATTGAACCCAGTTCCTCTGGAAGAGCAGTCAGTGGTCTTAACCGCTGAGCCATCTCTCCAGCCCCCTAGCTTTTGTTTTAAGGCTTATTTATTATGTATACAGTGTTCTGCCTGCACGCCAGAAGAGGGCACCAGATCTCATTAAAGATGGTTGTAAACCACCATGTGGATGCTGGGAATTGAACTCAGGACCTCTAGAAGATCAGCCAGTGCTCTTAACCTCTGAGCCATCTCTCCAGCTAGATGCATCTAGCTTTTTACATGAGTTCCTGGGATCTAACTGCTAAGATTACAGGTATAACTCAGCATGACCCGCACTCTTTGGTTTTCTCTTCAATACACTCTAATTGGATGTACTAGAATGAAATTTCCTAGCACTGCATAAACAAGTATAACAACTCCCAATTTGTAACTTCAGAAAGCCACAAGAAGAGAAGCACTGTCAGAATAACCTAATTTGAGCTACATTTTCCTGGTTTGTTTTTTGCTATTATCTTTTTTTTTCCCCCCTGGTTTTTTGAGACAGGGTTTCTCTGTAGTTTTGGAGCCTGTCCTGGAACTCGCTCTGTAGACCATGCTGGCCTCAAACTCACAGAGATCCGCCTGCCTCTGCCTTCCGGAGTGCTAGAATTAAAGGCATGCACCACCACTGGCCGACCACTATTATCTCTTTTGATTAATATTTATATTTTAAATTTTTTAAAAATTGACCATGTGTTGGTACATGCGTTTAATTACAGCACTTGGGAGGAGGGAGAGCAGAGGCAGGTAGGGCTCTGTGAGTGTGGGGCCAGCAGCCAGGTCTACATAGTGAGTTCCAGGACAGTTAGGGCTATGTAACAAGACCTTAAGAAAGACAGAAAGAAGCCGGGCGGTGGTGGCGCACGCCTTTAATCCCAGCACTCGGGAGGCAGAGGCAGGCGGATCTCTGTGAGTTCGAGGCCAGC